CCACTCCCGGCTCATTTTTGATTTATTGTGGAGATGAGGTCTCGCCAAGTTGCCCAGGCGAGTCTCGAACCCGCGGGCTCAGGCATTCCGCTCACCTCAGCCTCCCAAAGGTGCGGGATTACAGGCTGAACCACCGAGCCCAGCAATATAAATATATTAAAAGCAAGGACTTTTTAATTTCATGCACCTCTCTCTGGACTCAGTTCTGGCTTTGTATGCTGTAACTGGTAGATGTCTGACCACATTGAGATAGAGTCCAGGCAGAGGTGGAAGGGTAGTTAGGCAGGAGAGACCAGTTTGTGAAAGAGGAGAAGTCTTTACACATTTGCAGTGTAATTTTTTTCCTCTGGAAAATTAGATCTAAGAAAAAGCCAAGTTAAGTAGAGAGTAGAGATGAGCAGGAAGGAGTCGTTGAAAGTCCAAAGGCCACTTCCCCAGATGGAGTCAAGAGACCAAAGGAATCAGATAGAAGACACTGGATTGTTTACAAAACATTAATTACTTCCTCCTGCCTGCAGTGAAGAACTCACCCTAAGCCAAAGGAAGGGAACAGGGTTTTTGAGACCATCATTATGCTAATAAGTTTATAAAGAGAAATACCACTGAAAGACTAGAAAATGGAATTTCCAAGCCACCTCTGATTTTAAGTCTGTCATCAGCCTTTCTGCTGGTCCAGGGGGCTCTTCCTGGTTGTCCCTTGATAAATGGGGCACTGTAACCTTTTCCCGAGAAAGAAAAGAGGCTTCCAGCTTTACCTGGGTCTGCCGACTGATAGTCCTTGGACTCCATCTTGGTTGTCCAGTCCATGCGTTTCCTTACAGAAGATTCACCTCAATCACCTGTGCTGCTTTCCTCCACTCTCTCTCTCTCTCTCTCTCTCTCTCTCTTTTTTTTTTTTTGCTTGAAGCATACTGTTATGTCTGTGCAGTTCTTAATTTCCTCTCCTCCTGGGAAATTTCCATCGTGCCAGGAGGCTAGAAGACAAAGGAGAGAAGGCTGTAAGAGTCACAGGAATGTCAGTTCAGTGCCCCAAATTAAATGGAGACTTTCTTGCTTTTCTCTGGGGTATGCTTTTTAGGTAAAGTTTATCTTTTTCATTTGATTTCATTTGTGCTCATGGAAAGATCATTTGGAGATTGTTTGCTGTTTACTCAGTTACGCTAACTCATGTTGCCAGTTTTTTGGCGGCTCCAGCCAAGATCTCTCGCCTCTGACAGCTTCTGCACTCTCTCCTTCCTCCTCTGATTACGCAGTCCAATCTGTCACCCGGACAACGGGGGCCTGTACCCTGCTGATGGCTTTCCACACACGGCAATAATGACTTTTGGCAGGCCGGGAAGGCGTCAGAGGCGAGTGTGCTGCGTCCCTTCTCAGAAAGACGGCAGGCCCCCTCTCCCTGTTAGTAAAAGCATTTGTGAGGTTCTTGGGTAAAT